TGAGGTTCTATCCCTCCTGACACTCGCAATTCCTGATGTTGCCATCTAGCGTTATGACTTACCCTTTTCTGGAATATAGTCATCTGTGCCAGGTTTAGCACAAGCGTTGTGCGAAATTTACTGTTTCACACCCCCCAAGGGATAACACTCGAGGCTGAACTTCAAACCTGGGAGAATAGAAAGCGGAAGTCGGTAACGAGTACAGTAGCGCTTTTGTACAGATGTCCTTCTCCATCACTGCTGCTGCTGCGGCTGAAAAATATGTTACGGTAATAGCTGAAGCAAAGATAGTAAGCCAGGCAGCCGTTACAGCAACTACTTTCTGTTCGTAGCTTCTTTAAGGCATAGAAGTGATGTTGTGATGGTTGGCGGAGTAGAGATGTGGAGATGTTATCTCGCCAAGCAGTAATCTATTTTTTATTCACTTAGTTAATCTTCTTCAATTAGCAAAACCTTCTTCTTCCTTTTTTGGAATTAGAGAACTACCAGCCTCAGGCCTTTGTGTCAAGGCTCAGTAGTTATTGTTATTTTATACTGAGTACAAAATCTCCTTAGTATCGAGGTTTTACACCTCCCAATGCACTCCAGTTACCACGGTAACAACATGGGTTAGAGTTACCGGAGTGCAGAATCGAAGTGTAGAGGCTTACACGCATTCCACAAGTTTAGCGCTCTGCACACACTTCAACTCATACTTAGAGGGTAAACAAATCGTATGATTGAAGGGTTTAAATATTGTAACCAAGGTACTTGCCTCAAATACTTGTAGCAGACAAGAAGTATGTGAGAGTTACGCCCAATCCTATCCTACTACCAAAGGCATTTTACCTGCTCTTGCCACGAATCTCAATCTGATAAATTTGCTGATCATGGCCATGTTGACCTCCAACTTGGACATGACTTTGGCCACTCTCCTTCATTGACAGCACAAGCTGGAGTGCTACCTGATGGCTATACTTCTTGGCCCAATCGTAATCGTTTATGACCAGTGCTATAAGTTCCCACGTAACTACACCTTACAGATGTGGTCACTGTAAGATAAGAATGACAATTAGAGTCAAGAATTCTTACAATTCTCCAAGTCGGCAATCTGTGAGCTCTCAGTTTTGCTTGAGATATCAGATCACTTCGAGGGTTGGTACTATGTACCACCGACTACCACCCTTCCTCTTGTCTGCTTCCTCCTTTCCTGGCCACATGAATTCAAGAATTGTGCAGTTGAGGTTGGCAGAAAGTAGAGATAGCTGAGTTGAGTATTCAATGGATTGTGTATCCATCTCTATAGAAGGTTTCAGACAAAGCTAGAATGGGATCATGCACTTTTAAATCCTATCAGATTATAATCTTACTTTTCCAAAACCTACAAAAGGGGTGAGGTTCATGGCCTAGTCTGTAGATTTGTTGATGGTACACATCAATCTATTTACCACCCTTATCTGGACACAGTCAACCAAGAATTGTTCAACTCAGGTCACAAGCACAACCATACTCTGCAATTTCTGGCGGTAGTGGTACCTGATTGGCTAGTATCTGCAATTTATGGTCCCTTTGAGAGAAGAGCTAGGGTCTAAGGAATGTTTAAGGAGTCTGGCTTGCAGGAAAATATAACAAGATATGCAAAGAACGATGAAGAGGACCAGGTTCATGTTAACAGAGATAAAGTATTTTACCTAGAGCAGGAGGTAATTGGTACATAATGAGTACAGAGAAATAAAGAATTAACTTTGAAAGAGTTAGTATTCAATGCCTATATGGCAAAGCAAAGAATGTCAGTAGAATGGGACTTTGGGAAGATTATACAGTATTTTTAATTTATTAATTTACAGAAGAATCTCAAGATTGGACTCTCTCCTACTGGTGCTTACTACTTTGTCTCTACTTTATTAACAAACTGTCATTCTTGCTACAATTGCTCGAAGACAGTATTTTCATTTGAATATTCTTCTCCAACTATTTGTGAATATTTTCCCTTAATGGAAGATGAAAATAATGCCCTGAACATGTACACAGAAGATTTCTTTAGTATGGATGTCCCTCAAAATTTTGAAGGATAGTAACAATATTAGCTAAAGTCTTTTGAGTTTTCTTGTCCAGCTTTTCCAACTACTCAATATGTTCTCCAAGTGCTTAATTGTCACTCATACTAGCTCCTCCTAAAGTCCCCTTCTAATGATCTATTTTTTCATGCTCCTTTTCCTATATCTGCTTGAACATTTCCTGATAACCCTCTCACAGAGTATTTAAAATTCTCTCTGTTGTGGTCCTTTGTGTTAGGAGGAGACAACTTGATAGACTTCAAGATTGACTAGGCCAATCGAGATTCGTTTTTGTAGACCGAGATTGTCTAGGAAGGCTCAGACTTGGCTCGTTTCGTTTATGACTACTAGGAGCGAAGTAAAGAAGGTAAAGTAGGGTAGAATCGTAAAAACAATATTATATTGTTAAGGTCTCTTCTCCGTTGCTTGATGATGTCTAAAGCTTGGGAGGCACTTTGATATTTATATTCCGCATCTGAGTGTTCGCGGACTACATGTATTTATCATACAACTATGTACTTCTTTAATCGTGATTCGCAACGTTGAGTTTTCTTCCAAGGTGCGAACACCTGTGGACCCAGAAAACCATCACCTCCTCTTGGGTAATTACGATATTTCTTCTTAGGAAACATACTGTCCCCAATAGTAATATGCCGATTAGCAGAGTCTTTAGACTTATAGCCTAGTTCTTAAGTTGAACTGAGTTGGCTGCAATTGTCTTCACCATTGATAAAATGATCAGTCTTATCCACGGCTATATCTACAAAGCTGGTCGTCATTACAACCATCGTAGGTCATTTGATTTCAACCCTTTGTAACTCCATACCCAACCAATAGATTTTCTTTGGATAACTTCCTATTCACTCGCATGAAGTCACTCCACTAGACTGGTAATTAATCCCTCACTCGGCAACCTTTGGTCGCTCTCTGGGTAGTAGGTTTCAGTAACTATTGTAGTATTTGAGAATCACCCCATGACTACAACGTATTCCGAAACCCAGTTGCAACACTCCGTGAAGTTTATTGGCTTCTTTGGTAGTACCTTTTGGAGTTCTAGACTCTTCTGGTGTATGCAATTGTATCGGTCTCTAGTAGAGATCCTTTACTGTTTGATACCATCTCATTATGCGAAATCATCCCGTTACCTACGGCCCATACCAAAGGTCTCATACCTTTAAAGCCTTGTAACTCTCTGAGTAGCTGACGGAATTACTCCGTACTACTTCCCAGGCCTAGCCGAAGGTCCCCTTTCATATACCCTGCAAACAGGATCCGGTCGGATAGACGGCGGTGACATATACGGTGTTATTCTAACACCTTCAATTTTGTGGTAATGTAGTCACAGGATGCAACTGAGATTGATATATGTGATGATGCGCGGGCCCCGTAAGGGAGCCGGAGTGGGGTGTTGGAGACCAGAGATTCCGATTCCAAGTGGGGTTACCCTGCTTAGGGTGGTTTCTAGGTATCGGGTTCTGGCATTCCTAACACTTTGAGAGGCAAATACTCTATTGCTGGCAGGTTCAGGACCAGTAGCGGGACTGATGCTTTTTCTTTAGACAGCTATCGCTGAATTGGCTATCGGAATTGCCCAATATGGTTGCTGGTTTGTTCTTCCTACTACTCTCTTGCACCATTATTGGAGAATTTGTAAGCTCAGGTAGTTCCCTATTTCGCATGAACAACTTTGTCATGTTTTCGCAGATAGTTGCCAACTCTTTCTTCCAATGTGCATCTTTCTTAGTTATGGTATTTTCTCTCTTGTTTAGTTGGTCTTCACAATCTCTCACAAGCCCAAGTCTGTTATCAACTAATTGCTACCATTCTGTCACTGACTCTGCTATTCCACTCTTACTTAACGTTACTTCTACTTCCTGCGCTGAAATGTGAACCGTTGCATATATACTCAAAAATTTGGTGCTATACCCGCACAATGTAGCTGCTGATAAAGCGTACTAATCCTCTACCAAAACCTTACCTTCCCCCTGACAAAATGCCAAAATTTGCCAAGCACAAACGTATAATCTGAACTTTCTCCTCATCTGATCTCAAAAACACTGGTTTTGTTGCCATCCTTCTCGGAGAAAGGACTGAATTACCAGCTAGAGGCCTACCACAACTCAGACTTGAATTGGCTTCTTCTGACACAAGATTCTCTTGGATGCCTGGACAACTAGGACCAACCACACTTCCTCCCTCAGAGATTGCAGGAGGAATAGCAATGCTAGTAGTTGGCTCGAATGCTAAAGAGGAAGTACCAACTGTACTTTGAACAGGGTGAGGCTTTTAGTTTTCTAAATGAGAGTTGCCACAGTACATGAACTCTCTGGTACCCGGACTGCTATTTTGGATCGGGATAGGATCAGCATGCAGGTATGTATGATTGATCAGACGGAAAGAAGGATCGTATCTGAGCTCTTCTGGGGTTTCTTGGTACTCATAAGTACAAATATTAGCTTCATCAGACACTAATTAAAGCCTAGGACTTGGATCTAGAGATAGAAGAATGTGAGAAGCCATTACGGAATATGTTTGCTCCCATGTCTACAGATTTTTATCGGTTGCTATGGGAGAATAATCATGCTCACCAAGAAATTGAAGTGCGCTCAGTGATATCTGCAAAACCTCACTTTTTGCCGGGCTCACACTTCAGGTTGCAACCCCCTCCTGTGGAGTGCGTGCAGCTAGTGCAAAACCTCGATATTACACTGTTACTTTTGTTGAGCCATTTGGCACTCTTCAGGAGTGCCACCGTCGTAGTCGAAGGTCGCTTAGCGTCCCTCAAAGTTGTGGGAACCTTGGCATGGGTACACCATAGCATTTACTCTCCCGCGGTTTTGGTTATTATCATCGTGGGCGTCTTTGTCCCGGTAGATGGCTAAATGCTGATCGTTGGGCAATTGAATTTCCACATTCATATATGAATTCTCACTCGAAATTCCACTTGGATCGTGGCAGTCACGACTTTTAATCTCGAAGAAGAGATGTATTTTCTATCATACTACAAACATTTCGAACAAGTCAAAATCTACCCCGAGAAAGGGCATGCAAGTGCTTCTAGCCAGGACGAGATCCTACAAAACGTCAAGAAAGGGCATGGGGGTAGGGGAGATTACAACATCGACTTTGGAAAATTCTTGAGAGCCTGTCGAACGGCAAGGTCACCAAGAATTTCTTCGGACCCTCCGAGAACTGCATCAAACTTATATGTCCGGTGGAAATTCTCGATGACCCTTCCCATTCCAGACTTGGTAATACCCCTCCCGCCAAACACCTGAACCGACTCGTCCGCAATCTCGTGCGCGGCGCGGGTGATAAAGTTTTTCAAGAGAGCGATCGGCCCAGCGAGGGACTTTGCCTGCTGCTGGTAGGTCATGTTGCACATCTGGTAAGTAATTGCCTCGAGCCAGGATTGTCCGGACTCCACCAGGGAGATCATCTTCGCAAGTTTCCCGCGGATAACGGGCTGGTCTACTAGGCGTCGTCCGAACACCTTACGCTGGTTCGCCCACTTTAGGCATTCCTCCACAACCACGCGGGAGGCGCGGATGGATGCGCAGGCCATCACCCAGCGCTCGTGATTGAAGTTTGACATGATAACCGGGAAACCTTGGTGTTCCTTTCCTAGGAGGTTTTCAACTGGGACGTTGACGTTGTCGAAGGTGATGAATGCGGTTCCGGCTGCGGACGAGTACGATGTTTTGATCTGCTCGGTTTCCACGCCTTCTCCGCGCTCGATTAGGAGCATGCTGTAGCCCTTCTCTGTCTTGACCGCCGTAGTGAAGTAATCTGCCCAGTTACCGTTCGTAATCCACTTCTTGGTCCCATTTACAACGTAGTGTGTCCCATCGGCGCTCTTTACCGCGGTGGTGCGAATGGAGGCGACGTCGCTGCCGGCAAAGGCCTCGCTCACAGCGAGACAGATAGACTTTTCGCCGGAGAAGCACTCACGCATCACGCGGTCGCGGAGAGCGGTGTTGCGGCAGAAGTTGAGGACAGGGGGGAGACCGATTACCATACCGCCGAGGAAGCCGTCGTTGCACGCACGTCCGTGTGTTCGTACGAGTTCTTGGTTGAGAACGAGTTCGTGGAAGTAGTTGAACTCCTTGGGCTCGATTCCGCCAATCAGGTTGTACCCCTCCAGATGTCTGCCCGGACCGAGGCGCATGGCGTTGATACCGTTTTCGCTTTTATCATCAATATTGCACGAATACAGGATCTAGGGGGAAGAAAAGAACATACGCCATCCGCTTGATGATCTCGGCACTCGGCCTCTCTCCAGCCTCTTCAATCCTCAAAGCCTCCGGCCGGACATACTCGTCGACGAAAACCCTAACCTCCTTCTGCAGCCTCCGATGAGTCTCGTCATAATAAGGGCTCTTGAAGTCAGGACTCAACCACATAGGCTCGGTGTAAGGTATCGGGCACAAGTCTCCTGCCTTCGGCTCGATAACCTGCGGTGATTCACCCTGAATCGTCCCGATCACCAGGTTGGCGTACTTTGTCAGGATTTCATGTCGGTGCATGGAGTAGAACTCTGATGTTGCGTCCTGTCCCGCGACTTGCAAGAGAGCATGTACGCCTCCGGGGTGGGCGTCGGTAAAGTCAGTCAGGTCATAAACCTTGGAGTCGATGATAACGTGAAGTGAATCGGCATTATTGTTCTTGGAGACTTGCTCACGGGTGAAGGTTTGTGTGGCCATGCTTGCTTGCTGCCGTAGTTTGCGATTCTGTCTGTCTATCTCAGCTGAGCAGAGAGGGTAGTCTAAACGAGCAAGCGAACGAATACCAGTAGGTGGTCAAGAAATACCTCGACTTAATTTGTGAACACTCGGACATCTCTATCACATGTCACCGTGGCTGACCATCCATTCATTCCCTATTCTGGGTTAAACTGGGGTAATCGCCAACCAATCGCGGTTGGCCCATTGCGCGTAGATCCACTTTAGGAATCACCTTGATGGATGGGTGGAATCAAAGCATGTTGGTTTTATCCGAGGCCCGAAAGAGCCGCATAGGTGTGGTGGATGGCACGTGCCTGACTGAGGTGGGGTTTGAGTCGAGCTGGGACGAGCGAGAAAGTGATTGATTGGTTGGTTTGGTGAACCACGTGTGCTCAGAAGCATGGGTTTGGTGAATGATGTTAGAAGATGGAGGAATGTTGTATTTGGGAAGGGGGATTTGTGGGGAATGTTAGATGGGGTTTGTCGGGTTGGGTTAAAGGTGGCCGTGGAAGGGCATGTTTAGTGAATATCTGTCATGTTGTCTTGCAATAACTTGTTCAGGCAAGGCTGTTGATGATTGTTGGGGGTTATCAACCTCTTTTACGAGTAGTCGAGCAGTGCCAGGTTGAGGGCGCCCTATGAGCATAGATATGATAGGGAATTTAGAATATGAATTCGGCTAACAATAGTGCATTAATGTACAGCAGTACCGGTATGCCTTTCTCTACAGTGAAACATGAGTTGTCCCGAATCCAAACTCCTAAGCATACTTTTCGTCTTTGGAGATATCTTCCTTGCTATGACATATGGGTCTAACCGCACTCATGGTCCTACCAATTACCTCCGCCCTGGCACAAGATAAGGAGACCTCCATCACCACATGCGGTTGTAACCCCACGGAGATACAGGGCTTAAGTTTTGTAGGTTCCACGAGCAAGGATGTCGGCTACTTGCAGGAGGGGCACGGACAGATTGGATAAGGTTGCTTGGCAGTTCTGAAAGGTGAAATTTTTTCAGTTTGGTAAAGGTCCGTTTAAGTGATCTTCATATCCAGACATTGCGGATCATCACAGAAAATTTCATTCCACTGTCTTCTGGGCTACCGATGTGTCCATTCCTCCTCCGGCAGCATGTCCAAGAACTGCTCACCTCACGCGTGATCAGCGCCGTGACTGCCAACTTCTCCACCCTATTGGCTGGAAATATCCTGAAATCCAAGAGAAGAGCATCTTCTCGCTGAGGCAAATTGGTTATGTATGCTCCCATGTCTGGGCTCGCCCAGTGACTCCAACAAAGCGCCCTAGTCATCCACCCATCCTCACTGAAGCGTAAATTGATGACATTGTTGCTTATATCTGCCTGTTGACCCGTTACTAGCACCTCTCATTTTAGCAATTGGTTGAGGAGTTAGATTTTGGTATTGGGAAAAAAGCCATCTGCGCAGCTTTACTGAAGGAAGGGTGCCACTGTCACCTTGCAATGAAGAAACCTTCGATCTCAGAAAGAAACCAAGCAATCCACCTTCAATGGGCTCAGGAGCATGCAAACTGGACATAGAAGCTGTGGAATTCTATCATCAGGACTGATGAGACATGGATTACTGGTGGAAGTCATACTAGAACTTGGGTTACTTGAAGGGCTGGTGAAGAGTGGGATCATACTAGTAGAAAAGTATCAGAAAAAGAGTGGTTGCAAGTTTTGGGAGTATTTTCATGGCAATATGCAAGATCCAGACATATTTTAGAAAAAGGATTAGAGGTCCATCAATGCAGAAGGTTACTATACACATACTGTTTCTATAATCATAGGTATATTGAGTTCTGTAGGTATATTAGCAAAAAAAAACACAGTGTCAGATGTGTCTGTTGTATGTCTTGATATAAAGGTTCAGTTACCTACATCACATGCATCCTCAGCATTCAGGGCATCCAGAGCATCAAGTTGTATCCCACCTGTCAGAAGTTCATACTAAGTGAGGATGTGCTAATTTTCACCTTCCAATCTGACCTGGTCAACCTTAGTCCTTGCTGATATTCTGATATAAGAGGGCAGAGAGTTGAGATTATAACACCACAGGTAAACTACATACTAGCCACTGCTATATTCACTGGACAATACCCATAGGACCAAATCGAAAAATATACACTGAAATAGGAGATGTGTAGTACCAAATACTATTTTAGTCTCTTGAAGAATATGAGAGCCGAAATGGCCAAGTGGTAGAATGTAAAAGTGAGTAATTGTTGTGATTGTTGGGATGGGTGGTAACTTGCACATTTGGTTAAGTTTTTCTAAGACTGCAATATGTTTAACTTCTAGAGAACCACATATCTGGACAACCACACAATATCTGTAATGATATTCTTTTGAATAGTTAGTTCTTAGTGACGTGGAACAATGCTTCTCTTCTTCTTCTTCTTCTCCTTTACTGTACGATAGCACTAGGCCTATGCCTACGTTATAGATAGTACAAGACCTTGGTCTTCTATTTGTAATGCCTATTGTAAGCTTTCTCTACCTCTATCTTGTGTAGAGTTTCTTAGTTGCAATAGTAATAAAGGTCGTGATAATAAGTAGGAGTGTAAAAGTATTTTATCTTCATTAATGTAATAAGTAGGAATAGTACAAGGAAGTCAATCTAATTTTGTTTAAACTTGTACTGCCAACACTGGCATATGACGAGCCCTCGCTAGTACAAAGATACCACTAAACAGGTATACCACTAGGTACAGGCTAACTAGGTCTCCAGTTCAGCACCTACTATCCCCGAAACATGCCTACTGTAACAATGCCCCTTTGAATGGTTAGTTCTTGGTGGCAGGGAATGATACTATTTGTCTCCTATTTTCTAGTCTTACGATAGCTCTGGGCCTATGCCTACATTACAGATAGTACCAGACCTTTGTCTTCTATCCGGAATACCTATTATAAGCTTTCTCTAACTCTCCTTCTTATATTGTTCTCTTTGGTGTAACAATAATAAAGGTCATGATAACGATAAAGAGCATAAAGGTTTTTTATATTCGTTATAGTAATAGTAGGAAAAGTGCTTAGAATTCAATCTAATTTTATTTAAACTCATACCGCCAACACTGGCATACGACGAGCCCCAAGGGCAGGCCTCCAGGTTGTCGCATCTGAGATACCACTAACTACGAACTAACTGAACCTCCAACCCCGTACCTCAAACATGCCTGCACCATGTCCCAATATAAACACTAAATACAAAGCGATCAACAGTAAAGAAATGTTCTCCTCAGCCCAACCTACCTGCCAACCAAGTTACCTGTACAAAATAGAAAGATTCCACTACCACCACCTGAATGTGACCCCACAAAAACCTCCTCCACAGTAGAAGCCCACCCAAGGGTCCCCACTCAATGATCCTGGGATACCCCACCGACCACCACGGTACCCATCCCCATTCCTGAACAAAAGAAACACCCACTACCCAAGCGTGTAAACCTGAGGGAAAGCCGGCTTACAGGGTGAGAGCTTCCTAGCCAAGGGGTACGAACCTTCGTGGAGAATCAGGGGGGCACCACACCCACAGCATAGCCCAAAAACCTCGACAGAAGTAGCCAGCACGATATAGTCCCCAAGCTGTCGGCACTTGACCCAACATGCCCAGGTATTCAGCTCTTCCTCCAACTTCTCAGCTCCCTTCCCAGGTGGTGACCCGGCCGCGGACTCAGTAGAAGCCGGTTAGCGATTGCGAATCGGCGAAGGAGATGACCCTTCTGAGTCAGGGACAAGCAGCACAGGTGAGGTTTGATCTTGTTTGACCTGGCACTTCTTGTTTTTCTTCCTCTTCTCACTCCCAGGTGCAGGTCTAGTAACAGGAGTAGACAGGCCACCCTCATCACCACCTGTCACGAATGTAGCTTGGCACAGAAAAGGTTTTTACGTGATACATGATTATGAGTTATAGGTATGTTATTGTTTTGCACATATGACCGACTTGAGTCAGATGTTTTAGTATGTTATGATGTGTTAGGTATCACACATGACTCGAATATGAGTCATGGGATATGCACCTGGTGAGTATGCCTTGCAAGTATGCCTTGTGGGTATGCCTTGCTCATATGATTTATGTTTTGCACATGACTTCATTATGGTGTCATGAGTCTCATGCATATGATTCAATTGAGTTATATGATTTGTTTATTGTGTTATGATTGGTTTATGAGTTTTGGCACATGACCTTGCTATGAGGTCATGGGTTTTATGTGTGTGACCACTTTGATTACATGATTAGGTTGTTATAATTTGGTTTTGCACATGTGACCACTTTTGGTCACATGACTATAGGTGGGAAGAACACTATCTAAGGAGGTTGATGCGGCACAGGAGAATAGGTTCTTCACTCTTTGTTCTAAGTACTTTTTCCTACATATTACTTTAACGAATATAAAACACCTTTACGATCTTTATCCTTCTTGTAACATGTTTGCAAGGTGCTAATCACATTATCGGTAATAGATATGATAGTTGATAGGTGGCCTGCTCTTCCAGAGAGGAGGCGAGAGTTGAGAACTAAAGGAGGCTTCAGAGGTGTACTGAGGAACAAAGAAGTAACCGTTCAACTAAGTATATTAAAATACTGCCTGTCGAAGTCTACCTTTTCTATCGTAGAAACAGGCGGTCTTTAAATACACAAATCTGTTCATGTCTAGCATGAACAAAACTAATCAAAGGTATCAATCGATACACTTTGGTAAAACTACTTAAGTATCAAAGCAATACTTAAAACAAAACATAAAACAAAACCAAGTATCAAACAATACTTAAAACAAACCAAGTATTAAAGTGATACTTAAAACAAAACATAAAACAAAACCAAGTATTAAACGATACTTAAAATAAACCAAGTATCAAAGCGAGACTTGAAACAAAACATAAAACAAAACCAATAACCGAGTACCCATACCAGTTACATTTATTGCAATATTATAATTACGCCAAGGAATGTTCTTCACCAAGAAGAGTTAGAGAAAGCTTATAATAGGCGTTCTCGATAGAAGACAAAGATCTTGTA